TATTTTAGGTCCTAATTTGACTGTCCCACAACAAAATATGAGCATCATGTGGGAGAAATCAACTATACAGCAGTGCCCGTTTATGTGCTTCAGAGATTTGTAAAAAATGACTGAGAGATTTGTTACATCCGCTTTCTAAATTACTACRACTGGACATTTCATTTGSATTATAACAGAACCAGACCCCAACRCCCCAAACCAGTTCAGTTCCCCAGTCAAATATTTTATTTATATTTAAAATGGAGTAACTGGTTCAGCAGGCTTTAACTGCTATTCTCTCAACATCTGTCCTCCATCCTGTTTTTATGGAATTAAAACCATAATAATTTTTSAATGATTGACAGCTGTCAATCAAGTCTATCCTCATGGCACACTTGCAGAGCATGTGCAGCACAGTACAACTTTGTTGCAAGGTGATGTACGAAAATCCCTTCTTTCCAAACCCCAGTGCTTGGTTACAAATCCTGTCTTTCAGATTTAGGTCTCAGCAGCAAAATTTCTAGATACTTAAAAAGTTCCTAAAGTAAATTATCCTGACTCAGCTACAGGTATAATCAACACCTAGCATGGAAGGATGCTGTCWAAGTGTTGGCTCATTGAGCCACTCACCATCCCATTCAGAAACCTATTTCAATGCCAGATGACAGAGATCTGAGTAAGCACTGAAGACACTCTACTATGAGAAATCTTCACTAGCACAAACCACTTGAAAACCCCAAGTTGTCTGCAACCTCTGTAACCACTAAAGAAAAAAAACAGCAAAACCAGTGTATTATGTCAACCTCTTTCATATATGTCAATAGTAAACTCTCCAGTTCATTGTCTGCATATCGATAGCACAAACAGCTCACTGAAAAACTGCAAATGGCTTTATCAGCTGTGGTAAGCATGCAGGAGACATGCTCATTAGCTCTTCCTCAGGAGACTYTTTAGCTCTGCACCTCCCCATCCCTCAGTCCTTGAAGGTTTCTTGTTACTTTGTCACTTCTGTGTGACTCTTGGCATGAGGTTAGTGAAGGCAAGCTCAGTGTGCTCACTCACATCCAGTGAGCATCCCAGTCTCCTGGCCTTCAAAGGAAGMAGCAGTGGCAGCACAAAACCCATCTTTTTCCATCCCTCCATGAGTGGTGAGGGGGGTGGGGAAAAAAAAGGTTTCATATTTAAGTGTCAACACAGTGCTTCCAACTTCCTTTTTACTTTCCTCTGTCCTCATCTCCCATTCTTCCAGTGGTCAGAATCCTCTTGGTTCCATTCTATTCTCCCTGCTTACACGCATGCAATGAAGTTCTGCCACTTTATTGCTCCAGAAGGGCAAAGAGAGAATAACTGAGCTCAACAGAGTAGGATAATTTTGCTTCTTTTAATTTGAAAACTGAAATTCAYACGGTCAGATTGCTGGATTTGTTTGAAGATATCCAAGAGCACATTATCAACATATCCAAGACAAATACAAAAGAAATTAACTTTGTCCACTTCTTCCCCTTGAGATTCCCCATGTATCTTAAAATCTATGTACTTGAAAATTTCTGTGTGCAGCTATCTTCTGAAATACACAACACAGTTAATGCATGTTTCCCCGAAAAAAAGAATCTTCAAAGAACAACTATTTAAGTATTACACCAGAACCTTCCAAAAAAACAGGCACTGAACAATCTTGTTGCCTAAAGCTGTTTCTTGTAAGCACTCTGTAGTGTAATGAATTCTCACTGACATAAAACCAGATACAGAGACTTGACTAGGTTAGGAGCATCCTCACASATTCACACGATCAAACAGAAAGACACACTGAAAAACACAAACCTAAAAATCAAGCACAAAACAACTACATTCTTTAATGGTTTCGGTTTCTTTGGAAAAAACCAAAGGATTTCAACTTCCTTGAATGGTAGAGACTCATGAAGACCAGGATGAGTACTCACCATCCTCCATCACACCACCACTGTGAAAGTTCATTCTAGTATCTAAATGCCACAGTCACACATAGGACAGACCTTCCTACAAGGGAGGGCAGTAAGGGATGCCCAAGAACAAACAAGGTGCTAAATACTGCCTGACAGCTATAATCAACCGAACAACACAGAGACAGGCAGCTAAGGTGATTATCTCCAGGACACAGASAATCTGTSATAGATACAGTAGTCTAAGCTCAGRTTWTRCGTGTGTTTTCCYCATTACTGTGACTCATATTCTTAGCAACAACTGAAGAAAATTGGTGAWGTAATCATCTAGAAGTATGCTGGAAATTATTTACATATTATTTAYATACATATAAAATATTAAAATATAKGYACTGTTTCTATGAGCATGTGTGTGTGCATATACATACATCCCCCCATCTTCTGTTTGGCTTTTACCCACCTATACTACAGTAGATCTCAGTATAAACAGGGTTTACACTACACCACTGAACAGTCAAAGTCGAGAAGTTCTTCAAAGATGTCTAACAGCAATTGCTGACTACCAGACCTGGCCAAATGCCATTGAAAAAAAAAACAAAAAACAAAAAACCCTACAAAATAAAACACCCTAGGTCATCATGCTCCATGCCCACCCCACCCCCATCTTTTAAGTTTAGGTATCTCAGTAAGTACAATGTTACTTAAAATATTTAATGATTTGGACAATCAGGAGTTTAACAGAAWTAAGACCTACAACCTTTTCATGACCTTTAATATTTCAGTACTTTTTACATCTTTAAAATATTACCAACTGACTGGGAAGAATCAACCCCAATGCAGATAGCAAGAAAACTCACAAAATGACAGTGAAAAAACACTGCTTACATTTTTATGCCATACATTTATACAAAATTACTCTCTCTAAATGAAGGCACACATTCTTATCAGTTCCTTACAAAGTTTAAAACTTTCCCAAGACTTTTTTTTTATGTTTAACTTTCCATGTTAAACCAAAAGCCGTACCATGTTGAACTCTTTCCCGAGGCCTCCGCAGTGCTCTCGCTATGTGGTTCCTGGTTTGGCCTCTAATAGAATGACGGTGACTATTTAATGCACTTACAGGAGTTGAAGTTCTTCTCTTTTCTACTTTTTCATCTCTATATGGGGTACTCCTTAGGGCTATGTGTAGAGGTGCATCTACAAAGAGAACAAAGACCAAGTCCAAGCTTTAAATACTTTCCAACGTCAGTCTACTTCAGCAGCAGCAGCAGCCCTGGCAGTCCACGGGGAATGCTTCTGATCAGACATTGCTCAACTCAGTCCTAGCCCTGACTAAAAGGCTAAAATCTCCCAATACTTTCGTCAGATTTGTTCAGGGGCTTTTCCTTCAAAAAGGAACAGTGGATGCACACGGATTACCCAAAGCTTTATTCTTTCAGAAATACTATAACTTTGAGAAAAGATGAAAAGAGAAATAGTTCAGTTTAGTAGATATATGGATTGGGTAATTTTTATTACTTTCTCCAAGAGAAAAGTGTCCTATTGGTTTAATTAAAGAGTTCACACAGCCAGTTCTCAAAGTGTGCTTTGTAAGGATGCACACAAAAGTGGCATAAAGCATCTCTGCACATATAAAGAACAGCAGTTTTTAAAAACATACCACTGAAACAACAGCATTTCAACCAAGAGTGAGATGCAAGAATTCAAGATCACTACCTAAAATGCATAAAATCTGTAAGATGCAGACATAGCTTCACCTGAGATTCCATTTTTTATTTAAGCCTAACAGTTCCATCCTCCTAACTGCAAGAAGCAACTCCTACTGAAAGAYTTCTGGACACAGAAAAAGAGCAGCRAAGGTGATAAAAGCTAAAGCTGCATGACAGATAGGACAGCAGACTAAACAAGACCCATACATTGCCATTTTGGAGTATTACAGCAAGTACCTTGATCAGTAAGACCCAGTAGCCAAGCTGATAGGTTGCTGACTTTGATCAAAGATGTTCAGTTCTATTATCATATGCATCTCAAAATTTCAGTGGATAAGAAGGGCAACTTATTCCAGTCTGAAGATTAACATGCCACTTACAAACCTCTAATTGAATAGTTGTGAGCAGAACCTGAGTGACTGAAAAGAGAAGAATCCTAGAGAGCTCACTTAGGAAAAGAAATTTGATCAAGCACCCTGCCCTGATCAACATTTCAAGTTGAAGAAATAACAAGGCACATTAAGACAGGTCACTGTAGAGCTTTCAGAATCAAGTGGATCTCTTCAGGCAAAAGAAACTCCAAGATGCAGAAATCTGATGACATTTTCCCTGCTCCTCTCTCTCTGAAGTTAGAGATTAAAGGAAAAAAAGACCCCCAAATAAAAAAGAGAAGCCATTTGCAACTATTTCCACAACCAAACTTACCTTCTAGTTACCTGCCCTAGTACACTACAGCAGCCACAAACACAGAAATKAAACCAAAACCCAATTACCACACAAGACTCTCTAAAAGATGCATTTTGTCCAGACAGGCAACTCACCGCTGCCTTTCACTTGGTGCTTATTTCCCTCAAGAAAGTAGAAGGTTTTGTCCACGAAGMATTATTAAACCAAAAGATACCCCCTGATAAAACACCACGGTATGTGTACGAAGAGGTTTATATGGCAATGTTTTTGTTTGCTTGGGTTTTTTGGTGCCATCTTTGTTTCCTTGTTTCAAGTCAGGTCTATTTTTGTAAGATTTCCTGCTCCTCTGAGGACTTCCATCACTAGCAGTCAAGATATCACCAGTTCAGATGACAAGAACAAAAGAAAACTTTTTTTCATTGTACACAGTAGCTGAGAAGTAAGATTTAGGTACTTCATAATCTCTTTGGGAATACCAGTGCCCCAATACACTTTCTTAAATGCAAACGGAGTATTTCAGTACAGGGTGCAAAGTCACATAAACAAGCTTTTCTGCAGCTTTCGTGACTGTATACCACTCTGCAATAACTTTCCAAAATACTTAAGGAACACTATGTCAGAGAAACTCAAAATTACAATACAAAATTCCATACAAACCTGACAGCCTTCATTTGGGCTCCTAACTTTCCCCTTTCCCAACAGCTCAACTCAAGTCTCATAAATTAACATTTACGAACACCACAGCCACCCTGATCCCACCAGCCTTTGCAAGAACAAAAGGCCTCAACTCCCTGTGGGCCGACATAGGTGCACATAGACTCTTGGTGAAACWAGACTGTACTTCATGTCCACAGGCTCTTTTTTACTTTGAGAAACTTAATTTTAAAGAGATCTTTGCCAAGAATATGTCCTGTCCTTTATGACACACAGGTTAATACATTTCTGTAAGATCTCTCACCTAACTGCAACATTGTCCTGGAGGACGAGGTCAAGGTACTCTACCATACACTAAATATTTTTTTTTTTTTTCAGTAACTGACACAAACACAGTAAGTTTTGAAACATCTTTGTTCCACTAACAGCAAAATTTAAAGAGTCTACAAGATCTCTGAGCACTGTGAAATATATCTTAGGAGTCATGATTAAATTTGAGAAGACGAGATTAAAAACCTGGAAATTTATCCTAAATGTCAGGGACAGCAAACATTAAAACTGATTCCATGAAGATGCAAACTTGCAAGCCTTCCACACTGAATGTCCTTTTTTCCCCTTTATTTGCAAGTATAATTCACRTCAATTTATAAAATCATTCCCTAAAGAACAAAGAACAACTATTCGCAACAACCACAACCATGACCTTGTATTTTGGCATGTGGCTTCAAAACTTACATWTTTCTCACATTCAGACTTTCTGCAGTAGTGCCGCCTGCAGAATGTGCTGCCTGCTTCCATCCTCTGGTCTCTCCAAGACAACCTTAACCCTTGAGAAGGTTTGCTACTCCTCTGCCTCCACCCAGGCACAGGATGACCAGGTTATGAGGCAGCAGCGACAGCAGGGCCACACTCATGGAGACTCCCATGAGGAGTGCACAAGGCACCCCYGTGTTTCCTAAAGCTGCTTGTGCAGGCTCCATGAAGACACATGCACCCGTGTCCCACTCYAGGAAAACTACAAAATGCACAAAATCCTCTGAGATCCTGGGCAGTGACATGCTCATTGTTCTTAAACTAAAATGTGATTAAACATCAGAGCAAATTAATTTCCAGCTCAGAGGACACTGAATACCACTAACAGGAACAGGAGGTATGTTCACAAGATATTGGAGATGAACAGGATTGCTGMTTAACTGCCCCCAGCCTTTTTCCATGGAGTTCTATAAGGCCTCTCCCCCCTAATCCTGGAAGAAGTATCCTTTGTCATATGAAAAGCTGACCCAGAAGCAGTGAAGGATCTTAGAAACTAACACATTGTCACACTTGAGATACAAAATTATCTCAACCATGCAGAAACCACACAGACAAGAGCTTTAGAGAAATTACACCTAAGCATAACAAGGTTCAGAGGCAGTAGCTTTCTGCCCCCAAGAACACTGATGTACGATCCCAGGTAACAAGATAACCCAGCATTCACAGGAAGCAGAGACCGCATTCCCAAGTATGTGAATCAGACAAAGTTACCATTCACAGCTGTGAGATCATYTGCTGAGAACTTCTGGTGATCTTTTCAAGAATTGAAAGACCATGTATCATCTTGACTTACAGCCACTGCCCAAAACCAAATGCGGTATTGTCACAAGCCAAAGACAATCGGGAATTCTGCAGAACATGGGGAGTGCTARTGCACACCTYCCCCTGCTGCAAGGAAAAAYCCCATGTTCGTAGATCACTGTGGACATCCCACTGCCTAGCAAAGAGGCATCCATCAATCAGAACTAATAGGACAGGAAAATTTCCCAAAAGATCAACCTGACAACCACTACACCACAGGCCAGAGGCTCACCTGTGAACAGCCATTAGTGACAACCAGAGGCTTGAGGTGTTTAAGCTGTCAAAGCAAGTTTGCCAACCCTACCCACGCACAATTCAGCTCCCATCAGTAACACAATTAAGGACAAAATACCTATTTTCTWTACATGCATTAATGTAAAGAATTCATTCACTGAGTCACTTATACACTAACAGGGCATACTGTAATTAACTTTGAGAAGGCTGAACCTTATTTCTAAAAATAAGGTTATGCAAAAAAATTTAAACCTATTGAGAAAATGTTTTTTTTTTCCTTCTTTAAGTGCCTTTTATGGACTCCACAGTAGGAACACATTTTTTACAGTATCCAAACTACAAATCGCAGGCCTGYTCCTTTCTTTTCTTCCTCATGGAAAGGAACACAGGAGAACCAAGACCGGCAGCAACTTGCCAACTAAGGCTACTGCTCTATACCCACACCCCAAATGGAAGCCTATAGTGTTTTTGAAGTCCCAAAACTGATTTTAGCTTCCATTAGGACCGAAACTCCTAAGGGGAGCTAAACTATGTCCTAGGAATCAACAGGTATCAACTCACAAGGTCCCTGTCAGTACAATTGTGCTGAGGGCAGTATATAAGATCTGTCAGCACTACTAAGAGGTTAYTAGGAGCATTAAGAGCACACTAATTACCTCAGATGGCACTTCCTTGCATGCRTGTTATCAACTCCCCTATTTGTTCACGAGGTTTGAGTCTCTTCTGAAAATCTTCAGCATCCAGCAAGTACAGAGCCTTGCCAAGGTRTGATGTCGGGGTACATCAGCTGTGCAAGGACTCAAGTCTTGACTTTCAGATTTCAGAAAACATGTTCAGCACAAAGGCATGAATATGTTAGCAAATCTCCAAATGAAGAGATTTCACTAAAAAGACAAAAGCCACCAATCCAGAAAAACTCAAAGTCAAGATGTCAAAACTAYGACTTGCAGGTACAAAGAAAGAAATGAAGCTATTCTAAGCTTCATGCCCTTGGAGTGGTCTAGTTTAGGAAACAACAATCTTTATTAAGCATAACCTTCTGCAGGCACTTTACACAAAATAACATCAACCGACGGACATATGTGAAAGAGAAAACTGGTACCTTCAGAAAAAATTGTTTACAGTGTCTGCAGGGCACAAGTTACAGTATGGGATGATGTACTTCAACAGTAAACTAAGGRGTTCTGCAGCAAAAAAGAAGAGACCACAAAGAAAAAAGCCTATTTAAGGTTAATGCACATGGGCATTGAATGCAGTTCTACTCCATTTTTTTTATTACAGCAACTAAYAAAAAACTGGCATAGATTTTCATAGATACTATACCACATTTAACTTCCAAGCAATAAATCTGACAGAGCATCTCAATTTGAACTGGCACAAAACCTAAGCAATTCTTTTATCTAAGACCAACACAGAGAAGTCATCTGAAGCCCAGACTCAAAAAGCCTCTATCAGCCTCTTATGCATCCACATACATTTGTGCAGGTCTTGATTCTCCTCTTTCACAGAGGGCTGCAGGTGGTTCTGCAATTCACCTGCTGAGGTGTAATGCAACCTGAGAGCTGAGGGCAGGAATACCTGCAATCTCCTAGAGCCCAGGAGGACACAAATTCGACTGCCTTCTTCTATGYAAGGACAATTCTTTCCTGAAGACCAAATAGCAGCAACTCGAGGAGGTAAGTTTTGTAACATGCACTTGGGGGAAGGGCTGCTTCATCATGACCTCAAAATACTTCCTGATAAATTAAAGAGGTATTGCCTGAACACATCCAGTAGCCACGAAGCCCCAGTCATTCTGTTTAGGCATATTCTGTAAGGCAGATGTAAAATACAAGTTGCAGGCTATGGTAGGACCTTCCTCTCTGTTCAGAACAATCACAGAATTTAGAGAGGTATCTGGCAAGTTGGCCACTGCAAAGGCAAGATCCTTCTTTGGAAAAAAGGGGAGACAGCTCAAGTCAGTCCCACATYAACCTTTCCAGCTCAGATTCCAGTGTCAAGTGGCACAATTTATATATCAGAAATTCTAATTTCAGAGTCTCCACTTCAGCGCAAAGCAACTATATTTAAATAATTCTCTCCCAAATCTCACAACATGGTCACTGAAGACCACTTACATCCATCTTCTTTTTTATGTGTTAAAATTCTAATTTTAAGCCCTGCAAAGAAAAGGGTTTTGTTACTCTTCTGAATATTGCACATTTTCCTRCAACTCTGGGAGCAGTAAGTATTTTCACTTTAAATCTAGCACCAGACAATCCCCACCATTTATTTATTTCATGTGCAGCAAAAAGAGTAAGGAGTCCCAGAAGTCTAAAATAAAACTTATCTCACAAGTGTAACAAAGCTTCTAAAGCAAGAGGATTTTCTGGTTCATGCAATAACAAAAATCAGTTTTGCTAGAAGTTTTACCTGTTAGAAATTGTCACCTTTCATTAAGCACTAAAATATACCTAATATAGGGAACTACAAGAAAAGGACACTTGTATCAAAAGGTAAAATGATTTAAATATATTATTTTTGAACAGGAGAATTTTTGCTCACAAAGGATTGTAAAGATGAAAAGTATACCCCRCCATGTACCAGACTGAATTATGGATTCAAATGTTTTCACTCTAAGCAGTACACCCTGAAAAGTCTTTTGAAAASGTGGCATAAATGTTCAGCAGACAGAAAGTCCTGCCTAGAAGACTGGCTTTCTATAAATGCCATTAAGACAGAAAAACAGAACTTCAATACAATAGTATGAGCTCACGAACCTCATTAACTCCGCTTTCGACTGTGTAGTACCACTGAACAAAAATTAAGGAAATTGAGAACAAAACAAGAAAACAGTATCAGACATATGATATAACTAATATATGACATTACTTTTCCTCATCAAGAAAAAATGTAGTATAGCTCCACAACAGCAGGCTTTAACTGTGAAGGTGACTGGAGAACTTCCCAGCCCCCATTCCACCTTGAAGCAATGTTCAGCTACTGGGAGCACACCCCAGGTGCTCTGTGCAGGGAGCCACTATGAGCTCATCATGGAAATGATCCAGGTAAAAAGTATCCATTCACAAATGGGCAATTAGAGGTGTGGGGGCTTAAAACAAGCAAGTAAGTTACATCTCAGYTCTACAAGGAATTGCCTGCCAGTGATAATGGCACACTGGATTGTACACCTTGAGGAAAGGATAAATGGAAGGGTCAAGATTTTGAGTCACTAATCAGTGTATTCAAGACAATCACAACAAAACAACTTSTCTCATCAAAATAATTACACAGTTCAAAAGAGCTAGACAGAAGTCTAGTTATTGGAATGCCCATGACATGCACAAAGACTGTTTTCATCACTTTGCAGCTGTCAGCAGCCAGTCTTCACCCACTCAGGTGTGATCCTCCAGGCAATACTTGAGTTCAATTAAGCTGCATGCAGAATGCAGTACATACAAATCATTATATCTTAATGCATTTAAAGAGAACTCTTTCCCTACCTAASCCAAGCTTATGACTTTGCATTATTTAAAGATACAGAAGTGTTTATTTGGGGTCTACGTGTAGGAACGGTATGTAAAGTCACACTAATCTGTTAGGAACAAACAGCAGCACCTCAAATGAGAAGTAATTTTCTGGACTCTTCAGGMAAAGCAGCCATGAAGGAAAGGAAGGCAGGATACACTCTGCTTTAGTGAGCAAAGCTCTGTGAGCAATTTGCAAGACTTTCTGAAATTCTTAAACAAAATATTAATGAAACATCAAATGCAAAGACAAAAGACATCAAGGAATTCAACAAGGAGAAAGATGGATTTTACAAAAAAGGCTCAGTGAAAAGGCAGAAGATGTGACTAGKTCTATGGACTTGCAGTACACAGACATCAGTCCACAAGACCCAAGTTWGGACAGGTTATCAACAGCCACTGCAGCTCACACTTAGACCTAGATTGCCACTCTGCTGTCATGCCRCGCAGAGAGTGCTTCAGAGAACAAGGGTGAAGCAGAAGTGAATGTGATTTTGCAGATTGCAAAGCAGTTAGAACCTTATTTTTTGTCTAACCTTTAAGTTTTCTCCCTTTCCATTGCTCATCTGTTGTGTGAAGATCTTTATCAAGCACAGTTGAAACAATTTCACTTGTTAAATACTAGGATTTTTCAGCCCACAGAACAGTAAATACTGGTACTGGATTTTCAGTCAGGTATGTGCTTGAAGGCAATAAAGCACAGACAAGTAAAGTCAAAATGTAAAGACAAGGAAGAAACAGGAGAGAACAGAGTACAGAAATAGTACAAACTGTTTTCCCTAATACAAAAAAGGACCAATACTATTTGTAAGCCWGGAGAAAAATAAAAATCAAGTCAGAAATTCGAGTAACTGTAGTTTTTAAAAGGGAACAGACGTTTAATATGCAAGCAAGCTGCTACAAAAAAAAAATTAGAGAAGCTGCATAGTGAGTTCTTTACCAGAACATGATCTTGATTTCCAGAGGAAGGAATTTCTTCAGCACTATATTTCTAAACTTCTTCTCTACACAGAACAATGCCCAGATAGAGTCCTAACAGACTTCTTAAGCCCAAAAGAAAATCGATTTCTGGTCTTTTCTGCCTGTCCTGCCTGCTGCTGTTTAAAAAAAAGAAAAAGATCAGCACCATACTTACACAGTGAACCAGCTGTGATCCGTCCTCTTTTTGACCTTTCTTGATTAGCTTTTTCAGAAGCCAAAGAAGCTCTGGTTTGAATATTTCTTTTTACAGGGTTGTTCTGTTGTGATTCTGCAGCCTTCTCCACTCCATGAAAATATTTCATGTGATAATGCAATAACTTGGCTTTGCGGAAGGATTTTGAACAGTCCAAGAACTTGCATCTAAACTTGTGATCTTGGTCAACAGTTGCAGCTTTTTTTGATGCAAGAAAATCTGCTCTCCTACAAGGTTTTGTTACTGGAAGAACAAAACAGATAAATTCCCCCATGCATTCGCTATACTTATMAAATGGTTTCCTAAACTTAAAACAGCAAAAAGAAGTAAGCATGCATTCAAAAATAYTAGCTATGGAATGCTAAAAATAAAATGTTAATGCTCTATATCTGCCTTTAAGATCAATAACTTTAAATGGAAAACTCTACCCTACATTCCTCTTAAAAACTGGTTRTCATGACACTTTATGAATTAAGTTACAACAATTAGCTTCCCTGAGTCCTTTGCCCCCAAACAGCTGATATCATTGTGTAGTACTCCTAAAGATAAAAGACTGAATCACATAGAGATTTATATCCCCAAGTCAGAACACTAAAGATTATTTGTTTACAACTATTCACACCTTTGGTGAAAGCATTTTCCAAGAAAACAGTTCTGCTCCTCTGCTCACAATTATTTTGCTACCTGCTTTCTGAGTGCACAGTCCCACCACCAAAGCCTGGTTASTCCCAAAGACAACAGAAGCATTATGTCAGAACATTTTTCAAGTCAAATTGAAATTTATTTCAATTTTTAAGCAGCAATGGAAACCAAAATTGCTTGYATCCATTACAAAATGTTCCCTATGCGCGATAGTTACTTAATTTCTCAAAAAAAAGCAAGGGAAGTCTTAAGATTCAAATATAAGAACATTTTAAGGCACCTATTCCACAGAGCACTGCTGTGCAACTCAAGGCTGTACGTGAATTTCAGAAACTCTTAGYTCATGTTTTTGCTAAGAAACATACAAAAAGAAAAGTTTTGAAGTAAATCATATTACTGTCACCCACAGCTGTACTCAATACAACACAACAGAGGTAAAAATTTGGAAATACATTCAAATAGATCTAGGTAATTATCCATCATTAATACACACACAGCATCAAAAAATCCCTCTCCAGCAAGAAAACAATGGAAAGGAGTTTTAATTTTTTAAAAAAACAGCTTCCAAATACAGTTCTACAATTTGTTTTGCCAGTATTAAGTAGTATTTCCAAATTTATAAGTATTTTCAACTTTTAGGATTAAGAAAGAAGTGTTTAAGGGTAAGACCTAAACCTAGCAACAGTGACTAAAACTGAAGGGATGYCACAYACRAATGAAAATTAAGACATTGTATTAGAAGTAGCTGTAAACAGGGACAAAAGTACCCAGACACATTATGAACAAGATTTTCTGTAAATGCAGGAATGCACTGAACAAGAGTGTTAAAAGCAGTGTCAACACATCCAAATTTTCAGCATGCAGTAACAAAAATGGTATTACTGAGCAACAGACTTGAAGGTTATGACACAGTTCAGACAAACATCCTAGACTGCTATATCTGAGGCACACTCAGCCTTTAAGCACCAGGTGTATAGAAAAATCTTGAACACAGAGAAAACACAAGTTAATTGTGTCCTGATGCATAGGGAAAGATTAAGTCATATGCACACCAGGCTGGTTAAAAGAAAAAAAAAAAGCAGTGAAATTGGAGAAGGAAATAGTACAAAGGAAGACACTGGTTTTGGGTGTTTCACAGTGCTAAAGAACATATTGACAGGAAATCAACAGAACTGCAGCAAAGCCAGACTCACACCTGCAGAATGACAAAGTCTGCCAACACCAAAATCGAAATATACTGCAAGCCATCAAAGGCTGCATTTAGAAAGAATGAAAACATACTTCAGGAGGGCTCAGTGCAACAGCCTGTGGGTTTAGTAAAAGTAAATACAGAAAGGTTCTCCTGACTGCAAAGGAAAAAAAACAGCATTCAGGAGTACAAATCCTGAGAATTTGTTACTACTAATAATCTACATGAAGTTGGAAAACAGAACTGCAGCAGAAGGGTGTAATGGAGTCTAAAGACTTAACAAAAAAACATTACAAAGATGACAAAGAAAACTATTATACCATCACACAACTGGTTGCAGGATGAGGCCCTGCAACCAAGCTCAGAGCATTTCCCCTCCACTGAACTGGACGGATTCTGGAGAAGATATAGGGAATGGCTTCAAACTGATCAGCTACAAGTTAGAAGAGGAATGGATTGCATCAGCTSAAGTTAGAAACACGGATAACAACGACCCAGGGCAAAGGGAAAGGAAGCAGACAAAAAACTCACTTCAATGTGCGAAAGGAATGTATTCAGAGTAACAAATGTACAGACAATCCCATGCAATTTGAAACAAGGTTTCAATTATCCACCATCACTACATTTTCCTTCTTTACAAGGAGCCCAACAGGACTCCCTATCACCCAGGCACAGCAGCAAACTGACAGCCAACTCTGCCACACAGGGGAGCCTCTGGAGAGTCCATGCTCCGCACACTCTCTAAATTACTTCCTAATACCTAAAGGGACAGCTACCATCCTTACACACAGTTTTGCTCACAACATACAACACTAAAATTGGTTTCTATAGAAAAAGGTTTGGTGAATTGTCTTCACATTTTCAGGCACTGGCCTTTTCAGAGGAGCTTGGTGAGTATTTCCTGCGAATACAGAAGAAAGTGAGTGGTAAACTGACACTTGCTATTTCTCCCATGTGTATAATAAAAATTCAAACTCCTCATCTGGCTTTCAGTTAAGCACAGACACTCACAGTCAAACATCAGTGTGCCCTTTAAGCCTCACTACAGAGAAAAACATCCCTTCAATGTTCTAGTCAGCAACCCCTCTCACTTCTCACTGGGTAAATTATCCAAGAGTCAAGCTGTAAGCATGTTCAGCAGTAAGTTCACTGTAAAATGCACAATCTGAAGTTTCCAAGTACACTAAAGGTGTTTTAGCCCACCACCAATTCTTTGTTTCATGTGACTCCTGCTGGGACAGGAATATTTGGCAAGAGCATGGTCCTTGACTGAAAGTCTGCCCTCCTGAGGCATCTCCTGCAATGCTCTGGTGAACAATCCCAGAAAGCCARCAGTGCACAGATCTCTTCCAATATTCCCTCACTTAAAGCTAACCTTGCTGCAGTTTCATGCCATTATACCTCCRCCTGTTAAACTGATGAGACTTCCATTCTCTATTTCCTGGTCTCCAAAGAAATATTAAGTGAAGATCAAATTATTTCTTCACCTGCTGTTAAATTAAAAACATTGAAACTCTTTAAAACATATGTTCTCTGAAGCATTATCTTCATGATAGGTCACAGTAATAAACATTCTTGTGCTTTGGACCACTTCACAGCACTGGGTCAGTGTGCTCATTACTTCTTTCATTCAACTTATTTATTCTGAAATCTTGTGYTGTTTTTCCCAAGCTCACCAAGTGTTTATTGTTTCAGCTCTCAAACTACAYATCTTCCTTTATTTTCAAAACCCCTCTTTCTAACAAAACCTTACTTGAGAAACAAAARCCATCTTGCTTAATTGCTCTTCTCAAACTAATTTAGTTAAGGAGAGCATCCAAGAATTTCCCGTGTGTCCAGAGTCCATAGAAGGAGAAGCCTGATATAAGAAATACATAAGAGCATCAATAATCACAGATCATTACAAGTTTATAAACTTGTGGGGTTTTGAGCTGTAACACTAATTGGCACTGCAAGAAGTACTCATTAGCCCCTGCACTGGAAATCAGTTGGTACCAATAAAAGTAGCCTGTACAGGGTAATAAAGCATGTAAGCCTGCAGTGCACCACTCACACCCAACATGCCTCTGGAAGGGCCAGGTTGGGGGGATGTAAAGGCTTTATCAGCACTTTGAGGTGTAACTGAAACAYGTGACCAGACTGTAGTGCCTCATTGTAAGGAGCCTTAAGTGAGCAAGGCAGGATGGAGTTATTTACCTACCATATMTTGTTAGGCTCAAAATGACAACTTTCACTCTACCTTGAAAGGACTAAAGCCTTTTTAGGCGAGCTGCARGAGAAACAGCAGCTCTCTCAAACTGATGCAAAGGTCTTATGCTTCTCCTTAAGGGAAACCCAAAGCTAGGAGCAACAAAATTAGAAAAGCAGGCGTAAGTATAAGGCAAATGGAATTCCTGATATGTCTCTGTAAATAAATCAGTAATTTTAAGAATGCTGGCAAATACAACTACAAACAAAACAGCAGATCTGTGCAAAGCAAASGCAACTCACCTTTAAAGTAAAAGGGATTTGTAAGAGTAAATTCACATGAACAGATGTGGAATGCTTCCGCTTTCAGATACATGAAAACTTTAACTTTAGAGCTTTAACTGGCTGCAAAAATTTGCCAAAAAGACCACCACATGTTTTTTGGAAAGACAACTTGATTTCGCTAAATTCTGATCCACTTTGGGTCCCTTGTCAGCAGAGGTATCAAAAGCCAGCAGAACAGGATTTTTATCTTTCAGTACATGTAATTATTCAGAATTTTGTTGAAACTTTTTTAAAAGTAACTGAAGTTTTGACAAGTAATGTTATACTGCCCTTTAAGAACATGTCAYGTATATTTTAAAACATCTCAGTCAYAGGAAGACTCCAGACTGTGTTTTCTATTATAAATGTCTGCAGCCACTATGCATCTTGAAACATATACCAACCAGTGACTGGAAAAATACTCTTTCAAAGGAGTGCTTTTGTCTTTAAAAATTCCTGATATTCAAATACTATAAAAATCATGTTCTTCCTAGACATCATGCAAGGTAAAACTTGTACTACCAAAATGCATTACTCACCAATGCCAAAACAATACTAACATAYCACACTGAAGAAAATACAGGTTTTGCAGTATTTTCCTACAGGAAAAGAAATAATTCCCACTAAGTGACTAGAATTAATGGTTACAGACCAATAATAATGGTAATATAGGGTTACAATATTGCCTTTGTTCTACATATAAAAAGTTACCAATGACTTCCAGCCTGCACTTTGTGGGAATATCACATGCAACAAACACCCTCTTCTCCCACACACACCACTTACTCCAAAAATGTWCTTTGCTCCTTCCCAAGCCCCAAATCTCTTTAAAACACAGGGCAGACTGAGAACATAATGAACAGAACTGTCTGACATACAGTTATTACTTCTGGACCATATCTCTTCCCTTGATAATCACCCATAAATGAGKTAACTCAGCTATCAGTCTCCAACATTAGCTATTTTTAGGACAGCATGCCTGGGCTGCACAACACACCTATCCCTCCCCACAAGAGCAGGAAACCACTAGTAAATTTTCAGATCCCACCTAGAGCATCTTTCCCTGTTATGCTGCTACACACACACACACACACACACACACACACACACACGCCACTACCAGGGAAAGACCAAGTTTCACCCTCAGCTTATCAGCATTGGGGTGCACTGATAGAACCATGACCAAGATAGAGCACGTAGAGGGATCCACTTTTAACTACTAAGGACTTGACTGTGATAGAATCTACAAATTTTAAAACTTTCATCTCAATAAATTGTGTGTTAATAACATTTTTAATGTTTGTTAAGTATGGAAATGTAGATTTTTATACCTGGATTTCAGATGACAGTATTTACTCAAAGATCCCATGTAGTTTTTGTCCCCAATCTTTAAGAGTGCTCTCCAACAAAAACACCTGATTGCTGCATCTGGACGTCCACCCAGAAATGTTAACCGAAACAACTGTTAATTAAATAAAATCCATGCTCAGAAGTGTGGATTTTTAAATACTACCAGTGTTGTACTTCAGGTCAGAATTCAATGTGAGTTTATATTACCAAATTAATTTTAATCTAGSTTGCTCAAATCCTGACAAAAGAGCCAGGAACAAGAGTGCACAAACTCTGTCAGAGCCTTTGGCCAGGTATRAGCCAAGCCCTGTTCCCACAGCTTTGCTGCTTGTATCCAATGAAGCAAGCTCAGAAGGCCACGTCCCACACATTCCATTAATGTGAATGACACCACACACAGATGTTACACATTCAGCTGGAATTCTCCTGAGTTTAAACCCAAATTACAAAAGCTCAGCAATAACTGAAGGAAGCGAATATCAAAAGAGCTCTAACATCTAAATAACAGAAGACCATTTACACGTCTAACCAGAGAAAAGAGGTCAATTCCTTCCTGCACCGAGGGCACACATTAGTGGAAACAGAGAGGACATCTCACKTTGTACAGTCACACCAGAACAAGTGAAAGAAGATAAGAGCAAACAGGGGGGAAAATTCAAATAATCAACGAACAACACACAGAGATTATTCCAGCAATGCTAAGCAACTATAAATCTCTCAAAATGCTCTGTTCCACTTAAAATTAAGCTGGTTTGAAGGAGCATAAACTAGAAAATATGTAGTTCAAGTTGCCCCAGCTAGCTATAGATCCAAAGATTGAASTTATGCAAAATAATCATAGGACAGMACCATGTTTTGACAATCCACTATCTGCATAGGAAATTTCAATTTGARAAAGGAAGGTAAGAACACTCCCCAGCTAAGAGAGAACAGAGTATACATACTAAGACACTGAAATGTTTTCACTATTTAACAAATTTGCATTAAAGCCACCAACTCTAAATACAGAAATATAAATATGCATAACTGGGATTCCCATACAGAAGTAACAGTAATGTTACCACATACCTGTGGCAACATTAGGGAGAAAAGACCTTTTAAGTCAAATTTAATCCAGAATTCCAAACACTGAAAAAAGCATTTGTTAACTTCACCACTCATGCTGAAAATATTACAGCCAGTCATTTAAAAATTATCYTTTCCCTTTTTAAGATTCCTGTCCAACTCAAAAGCATAAGATTAAAACTGAGTCCACAAGGAATAAAAAATATGCATTTTTAACCAAAGTTAATGCTGCAAGAATCCACAATTTTAACACGTGTACAAGGGCAAAACACTTGGTGTCAGCTGCCTTAAGAAATGAATCAACATTAAATATGAAAAATCTGAACCTGTAGCAGCAGAAGGTTCTTGAGTTCTGACTGTAACAGAAGAAGACTCAGCGTCTTCAGCTTTTTCTTCCTGCAAACTGGCATCTGTACTGAGTGCTGTGCTGTGCGATGTGTTTCCAGGTGATCCCTGCTCACTGAAACTTTGGTCAGGTTCAACAGGAATTTCTAACTGGACTAGAATGAGAAAAAAAAATTCCATTGAGTAAAATGCATACAAAAGAATACTGCAGAACACTGGGGGAGGGAGGGGGAAGAGAGATCACATTATAGCGGGAAAAAATACTCTGCTTGCTCTGCTATCCATGCTCTATCCATGCTCTATCCATGCTCTGCTTGCTATCCATGCTATCCATGCTCTATCCATGCTCTGCTTGCTCTCAACAAAATTTTTACAACACAACTAACTTGTAGCAACCCTCTAAATTTTCAGTTGCTTAGAAACACACAAGCTAACTGTTTATAATCCAGAATAGCAARGATCTCCCCCAGACACTATAAGAGCTTCTCCAAATGAAGAAGGCAGTGAAGCAATACGGAAAAAGGAATGTTATCTCTATCCAGTTTAAGCATAAAAACATCCCATTTGATGATTCTCATGTTCAACAACAGGATTAAAGTGTAAGAACCCTAGAGTTCAGCACTTGGGCTGTTACTTCCACAATCTGAAAGTGTTGGAACTTTGAAATTACCTCATTTTCACAATTAGAATCTGCATTCCCTAAAAAACAAAACCAGACAACTAAAAAACCCCAAACAAAACTACTTCCTTGGATGTTTTTACAGCCTATGGAGCTCTCCTTCTGCATGGCAAATTATTGCTCTGCTGGATAAGCTCCCATAACCCAAGGGAAATGCAAGAGTTACTGATGGAGAGAGAATCAAAAGCCAAAATCAGGGCATCAGAGAGACAGAAACTTTCTGTGAGTTTTCCTGAACTGTTGATGCAATCAGGTTTTAATCRCAGATATGGAGCCTGCAGGTTAAGCAACTCAAAAAACAGAGCTTGCAACAACTGCATGACCACCTTATTACAAAAATCCAGAGTATACAGTACACAGAAGACACTTACCCTTCTCAGATTCATTCTGGTTAGATATTGCATCTTTCCAAGGCTGAACTTCCGTGGAAGTTGTAACAAGATCTGTATTTAAAATCTCATGGCTAATACTGGATGAGAGTCTTGAAGATCGCCTCCTGATGTTGTCTCTCTCAGCGTTGTCTGAAGAGTTCTTAAATTTTTCCTGAGCTGGAACAGTTGTATTTAATGGTATCATGCAGTTACAGGATTACAAACAGATCACCAGCRAACTTTCAGGTTCCTCCCTCCCTGTGACAGCTTGACAGCATTTTTTTTTAAGGACTGAGCCTAACAGTCTTAAAAACTAAAAACCCTGGGTAATTAGGCCTCTGTAAAAGCTACAATGGTAACTTACAAATGAGCATSAAAATACAGCAAAAGCTCTCAACTKTTTTCTTCTAGTAAAAGATCTGAAGTACAAATAYAGATCAGTACCTTATTAGTTTCTTATTGAGAAAAAAATTCCACTGARTAAAATGCATACAAAAGCATACTGCAGAGCAGTGAGTGCAGGTGTGTTCACCACATYACAGTGGAGTGGGTCTAAACAAGCTGCTCCACAGACGTTAAGTAATACCAGGAGTTAGATGGGACAATTCAGACACACAAGCAACCATGACTGAGCTGGATAACCTACGCACACTGAAGTTTTAAGACTYTGTGGTATTAAGGAAAGAGCTTTGTTTAGATCAATACATTGATCTTGACACTACTACAGATAATTTTCTTTCCTCATCAACATACTCAACTTCTTCAGCCTCCACACACAGAGCAGACCAAGATAAAGTAGAAGCTATTTGACCACAGTAGCATGAATATTTATGTAGAATTAAAGTGCCCTTGCTAAGAGAGTTTCCACAACTTTAAAGGCTTTTATAGCCTTCTATATATTGGAGGCAATATAATCACTGCTGCCCCTACATCTATGAACTTCTACATCAAAGCTCACAGCTTACGTCTCCTCTATCCAAAACCAACTTCCAAGATTTAGGAAGGAATTCCAGCATGATGATGCCAMATAGGAATGGCAAATTTAAGTAAAACAGGTGCTGTATTTCAGTCAATGCATCTATCACAGTTCAAGGTTAATACCACAGCCTTTTTACCCTTCCCCCACACATTAAGCTTGAAGAACTTTATATGTAACACATGCACACACATAGTGTGACAGCTGAATACCAAAAAACTCACACAAGTTTTTTTCAATCCTGGGACGTTTCAATGGAACATCACCTCCTTTAGGTATTTTTCGACGTCTTAACTCCAGAGTTATKGGCTGCAGCGTCTGAGAACTTGGGTCTACAGATTTAGATAGAGAGGAAAAATCAATWGGATACAAAGCTGTGAAACACTTTTAACACAAATTCCCAAGCCTCACAATCTAAAATACTGGACTTGCACAAACACAGCTTCATCTGGTTTTCTGAAACTTACATAGTAGCATTTAATCCAACTTCAAATATACTTTATACTACATGATGGTTATTTGCCTAAATCTCATCTCATCTTGCCAAACCACCAAGGYCCCATATACGTTCTTGGTGGTCCTGAAGAAAGACAAGCTTAAAATTTTTTTTCAAGTTTCTAGAGATATAGGCTGTGAAACACCAAGATACTTCTCATTCATTCAGGTAAGTTTAGAAGTGTTCTGGTGCATGCCTAAACATTTAAGCTTGGCTACATACCCGTGGGAGGCGTTACTGGTGGTCTGCCACGCTTTCGTTTAGTTTCTTTTGCATTTTCCTGTGGACTCTTTACATTGTCATTCTCAGGCTTCTTCTCAATTTGTGTATCTACTGAATATTCCATATCATTCTCTGATATATTCTCTTTATCTTCTTTTCCATTCTTAGATATATTCTTTTCTGAGACCTTGCCTTTTTCCGAGATCACTATAAACTTTCCCTCTTTATCAGGTTGCTTAACTCGTTTTTCAGTCTTTAATGTCTTTTCATCTTGGTCTTTCTTTGCATTACCTGTTGCTTTCCTCTGCTCTTTAAATTTCTCCCAGTTTTCAGGAGATGACGGAATTTCATTACCTCTTTCCTTAGGCTTAGCATCACCCACAATATTCTACAATAAAGAGAACAACATTAAAATCAACTCGCTGCAGTCTGAAAGCCACCCTTCCCCTTTGTATTTAGCAGACCTGCATCCTTGTCCAATTTTTCAAGCGATAAAAGGATATACTCTACTGCAACCCACGGATTAAAACTTAGAGGCACCCAAAGTGGTGAAGGACCTGTGCAATGGCAATAGGACAGGGCAAGAAATCCATTCTTAACCATGAAATGGCAGAAGAGATTTGGTGTTCCTTTGTTCCAGGGCTGGGTCCCTACTACATTGTGCAGTACTACTTTAAAGCCTACTTGGGACACTGCAGAAAGAGACAGTCAGGAGCACAGAAAAAGGCAAACAGCTCAATCACTTGGATATGCAAACTGTTTTCCTTTCACAGAAGAGTCTTATYCAAAACAGACCCACAGTCTGCTTGYAGAAATTAATAATTGCTGCTGAAATTGCTAGGCAGAGTCCTGTAAGGCAACTTTAATCACTAAAGTCATCAGGAACCATGTGATGTTCGAATTTACACATGTAAATTTAAAACAAAACTTAAAACCTTTTCTGYAACTTGTGCTCAGCATTGAGAGAASAAGAAAATCCTTAACAGTCCCTGGYACGCCCACTRCTGAGGCAACATTCAAATGCCAGCCCATTTCCCAATAGTTCTTATTAGATAACACCAAGCCACGAAGAACAACCTTAATCAACAGCTCATGGCTACTGAATATACTTTCCCTTTTGCAATCAGGCTTTATATTTAAACTACTGGAAGGGGTGGGGAGGATAACATATGCTGATTACAGTTTTTTTCCCCTTCCAATGATCCTGGCTACAGGCTGTTCCAGGTGAACAGAAAGAAACCTTCCAACTTTGCACATGGATTAATAATTTATATTTGTGTCATGGTTTTACTTGGTCTGATTTTGGGTGGTGGGGGGAAGGGACAAAGAAACCACAAAGATGGCTCCTGTGAGGAAGTTCCAGAAGCKTTCTCCTTCTTCTCCAGCAAAAGSAGCCCTACCCCCGTGTTTTAGAKCCAATCCATTRTGGCTCTGAGGTTGATGGACAGGCTGCCCATCAGGCCTGGGCCAATTGCACAGGYTRGTTACACCTCTGTGATGACATAYTRTCTTGTACTTAAGAAGAATTCAAAACAAGATAGGKGCGRCCACCATGTAGTTYTTAGGYTGTTAGTATTTAGTTGTTAGTATCATGCACTGGGGAAAAACAGAGCAGGAGGGTGAGGAGATGTAAGAAGAAAAATGGAGACCCAAGATCACAGTAAGGAGAAGATGGGATGGGTTGCTGTGCTGTTACTCTGGCTCTCGAGCATGGAGAAAATAGGTTGTTCTCTAAAGGACTATTTCATCAATGAGAAACCTGTATAGAAAAGGAGAGCGACCTTGCTCTGAGGGAAAAAAAAAAA